AAAAAAAGTGTTTTGGTTGGAATATTGGGGGTAGTGTTGCTAGCCAGGCTCTAGAGTCAGACAGACTAGCTGTATGACCAGCAAGTTTTTAGCTTCCTCAGGCTTTCATTTTCTTATTAATAAAATGAGGATAACAGTAGAACCTAAACCCAATGAACTACTGGAGGTATTATGTAAAAAAAAAAGTAAAATACTCATTTAGGTGCCTGACATATAATGAGCATCAGTAAAAGCTGACTGCTATCATTACAACACCACTAGAGGAAGAACTTACCAAAAATGAAGACTGAAAACTTGGAACAAAGGAAGTGAAAGAACCTGTGACACCCTTTCTGCAGAAATTCTTGGATGTCGGGGTGCCTGGCTGGCTCAGTTGGAAATCTCTTGATTTCGGCTCAGGTGATGATCTCAGGGTCATGGAGTCAAGCCCCCCGTCAGGCTCCCCATTCAGTGAGGTCTGCTTTCCCTCCACCCTTCCCCTCATCACACTATCTCTCTCTCTCTCTCTCTCTCTCTCTCTCTCAAATAAATCTTAAAAAAAAAAAAATTCTTAGATATCCCTAAGTGTCCTATGTCTATGGGACATCTCAGAGTTTAAAAAAGTACCCCCCCCCCATCCTGATAACATTCTGAGAATCTCATTATTGTTTCCATTTCACAGATGGGCCAACTGAGGACCTAGAGTTTTGGTTTCTTACTCAAGAAGGCAGGAGCCAAATTTCCCATTATCACTATGTCCTCTGCACCTGTCATTATACCTGGCACATATAGGCGTTCAATAAAATATTTGTTTAATAAATGAACGAGTAGTAAGAATAGGACTGGGATCCAATGTACCTATTCCAAATCACATGGGCTTTTCAATGTACCTTATCTATTTCTCTAAATATAAGGATGATTTTTTTCATGAGCAAGACATCCTCAAGACTGACCCAGGCATGGAAGGTATAGATAAGAAACCAGTGAACAAGATAAAACCAGGTGGGGGGTTTAGAGTGATTTACACTTCTGGGAAAGAACAGGTAAAACACTACAAATAAATTATTGTGAGGCTTTCACATATCCTCTGCTCTTCAAATCTATGATCTGAACAACATAGGTCATGTTATCTATATTGTATACATGAGGAAAAAGAGAAGTTACAGGACTTGCCTAAGGGCACACAGTAAGTAAATGTGGAAGCTGTATTCAAATAGTCCTTGAGCGTTCTCCGTCACCCCACTCCTGCCCTTTTAAATGACATTGCTCCAAAGTCGATTTGCTTGATTTGGGAGGCAATATCATGTAGTGGTTAAAAGCACAGGCTCTGAAGTCCGAAGGGCCTGGGTTGGAATGTTCGTTTGTTTGCTCACTGGCCCTGTGACCTGGGACAAGTTAACTTCCCTGAGCTTCAGCTTCTCAGCTGTTTGAAACAGGACGCGTAAGGCCACCTCCCTCATAGCATCGTTGGGAAGAGATTGTTTGAAAAGTGCCTGGAGGGTAGTAAGCTCTGCTAGAACGATGATTATCCTCCGGGGAAGAAAGGAAAGGAGAGGAAGACGAGAGAACCCATGCCAATTCACCATTCCGGCCCTGCCCTGGCCCCTCCACAGTCAGCAGGCTTGGCTGTGTTTTCTGAGGCTTTCTGAAAGGAGGGAAGGCAGAAAGAGGTAATGCTCTGGTGGGGCACCCGATGTGCCAGGCAGAGGGAGGCGGCAGTGGGAGGGCGGTTGAGAACTATCAGCAGGCTTTCTCTTACTCCCTGGGCCTCCGTGTCCACCGACAGAGACGTTCCCCTTCACCCCCAACCCCTACTCACCAGCTTCTCGTGCAGCAGAGCTGGTTTCCCATGGTGCTCTGTCTCTGAGGGAGCCCAGCTGTTTTCTACGTGTAGAGGCTGGTGCATTTCCTGGTTCCTGGTTCAGCTTTCAATAGCAGCTCCCAGGGAGCCTGTGTCAGTGTCAGATTTCAACCTAGCAGGTTGGACTTTGGAAGGCACCTGCTGGAGTGAGTCCCAGGTGACTTGTTCCCAGCCAAAGGGTAGAGGAACACACATGGGCTCCAGGTGAGAACCATCTCACCTTCGGGATTTGGAGCTGCTTTGATGAAGCCATGAACTTTGAGCTTCAGGCTTCAGTGAAAAGAAACGTGAGATAGAAAAGAGCTCTGGGTTTCCTTAGGAAGTGTTTTCTCTACTACCTCACAGTCATTGAAATATATCCTCTATAATGGAATGAAGAGTCTTACCTTGTGTTTCCCCAGCACTACTCAGGCTTAATGGAGTTTCACTTTCAACATGACCAGTATCAGTTTCTTATTATCCCTGTCTAGAATCTGGGTTTGAATACTGGAGTCTCTTGGAAACTTAAATTTGGGGACATGGATTCCTTTTATATTCTCCCTTGCTTTTGGAATTAATGTGGGCAAATCACTTTTATCTACGAGGGTGAAAGAGAGGACTCAACTCATTGCCTAATCCCCTTTCTGGTAAAAAATCATATGATTCTACGATTGGAATGGCCTCAGCACTTCCTGACCACTTACTTCCTCATGCCCAGTACAGAACTATGGAAGCTCCACTCCCACAATCCACCTTCTCCTTCCAGCCACCCAACATCAGACTCATTCCACTCTCTCCAATGAGTAAGCTGCAGATGAGCAAATTCCTCTGTAGAAACTATGGGCTCTGGGAGAATCTGTGAAACCTGCCGGGCTCACATGCGAAGCTTTCACTAAGTCCTAGCTACTGTTACTGCTTCTTGTTCTCAGCTACTTGCTGGACGGCAAAGCATCTTACTTTACTATTTTGTGCTGGATCATCTCACTAGCCTCTTGCTGCCTGGTTATGCTTCTCCCCAGCAATTCCTTCTGTATTCTACCATTAACTGTATTCTTTTCATCCTGATAACCCAAACATCCTAGGCTGGCACTCAAAGCCCTCCACAATCTGGTTCCTTTTCAGCCACTTTCTCTAATATAAAGGAAAACACCAAAGAGATTTTATGAACAAAAACTCCAGAGTGCCTGGGTGTCTCAGGGGGTTAAGCCTCTGCCTTCGGCTCAGGTCATGATCTCAGGGTCCTGGGATCGAGCCCTGCATCGGGCTCTCTGCTCAGCAGGAAGCAGCTCTCTGCTTCTCCCTCCCTCTCTGCCTGCCTCTCTGCCTACTTGTGATCTCTCTCTCTCTCTCTCTCTCTCTAATAAATAAATAAATAAATAAATCTTTAAAAAAAAAAAAAAAGAGAAAGAAAGAAACAAACAAACTCCACAGCAATCAACAGTGTATTGTGGTACTCAGAAAGCCTGATACATCTTAAGCAGCATTAATGGAATTCTAGAGTGATAAGCAAGGGTATTGATGATTCCAGTAAAGTCTGTTCCAGTCAGCCTGTGATTGAAATAATAATTTTACATCTACATGTTGAATTTCAAGTTACATTGTCAAAAGGCAGTGTGTTCAAGAGAAAGTTGTCTAAGCGATAAGTGGTTTGGAAAGTCCTAAGGGCACCTGGCTGGCTCAGTCAATAGAGCATGCAACTCTTGATCTTGGGGTCATGAGTTTGAGCCCCACATTGGGTGTAGAGATCACGTAAATAAATAAATAAACAAATAAACAAACTAAAAAAAAAGTCCTATAGAATATGGTTAAAAGAATGAGATATGTTTACTTGGGAAAGAGAAGCCTTAAGGGGATGGGATGGTTATTTTAAAAAATCTTCAAGGGACTCCCAAGTGAAAGAAGGATTGCATTGATTTTCTGGACATAACTAGACCAGTGAGCAGCGGTTACTAAAGTGAAGATTTGGAGTTAACAGAAGGAAGAATTTGTAAGAAATACATCCAAAAAGTTCTGATGAAGAACTGCCAACAAGAACTTAGGAAGTTCTAAGTTCTCTGTCACTTAAAATGTCCCAAGAGGAAGTTGACTAATAGTTGTAAAAAGAATTTGAGTGAATAAAGCCTCTTAGTTCAATCAAAAAAAAAAAAAAAAGAAAAAAAGAAAAAGAATTTGAGTGGTGTGGGGATTTGGACTAAATGAGAAGTTTCAAATTTTTTTTTTCTAGCTAAGGAAACCTCTCTTTGAAATAAAGCTCGCATAAAAATAACAATTCCAAAATAGATCAATGGAAGTTTTTCTGGTTGAAGTCCGAAGAGGAGCCTTTCTAGTTTCTTTTTCTTCTCAGTTAGATTAAGGTTCTTGAGAGTAGACAATAAAAGATCATGGTTTTTAAAAATCTGTGTTTAGGGGGTCCCTGGGTGTCTCAGGGGGTTAAAGCCTCTGCCTTTGGCTCAGGTCAAGATCCCAGGGTCCTGGAATCGAGCCCTGAATCGGGCTCTCTGCTCAGCAGGGAGCCTGCTTCCCTTCTTCTCTCTCTCTGTCTGCCTCTCTGCCTACTTGTGATCTGTGTCTGTCAAAAAAATAAATAAAATCTTTAAAAATAAGTAAATAAATAAAATCTATGTTTATAATGTATATCCACCATAGTGTATTACTTGGGGGTTGAGAAACATTTGTTGAATGAATGGATGAACAAACAAATATATCCATTGTTATTTCTCTGAGGCATGCTTTCATTTTTAATAAATGGTAACGCTTTAACCAAGAAGTGAATTCACTGAGTGAGGGCTCTTATCTTGGGAATCCACAAATCCCTAAGGAGGGGTGTATGAGTGGAACTCAAGAGCTGTGTGAACCTATTCAAACGGTAAGGCAAATTTGATAGCATGTGTATTTTTTCTGGTAAGAGGACCTATTCCTTTTGCTAGGTTTTTCAACCGGGTCTGTAAACCTAAGGTTCAGAATCAACCACTTTAATGGAAGAATTTCAGATGTCCACCACAACTATAAAACACTTAGTTGGGGGCAAGGAGGTCTTCTGACACTCCTCAAATCAGACACGTGCATGAACGACACAGTAACCGAGGAGTCAGACAACCACGCTTTCCTGAACACACCGTGTCCCTCGTATTAAAACTCTGCTTTCAATTGGGATGCCTGGGTGGCTCAGTCAGTTAAGCGTCTGCCTTCAGCTCAGGTCATGATCTCAGGGTCCTGGGATCGAGTCCCTCATGGGGCTCCTTGCTCCGTGGGGAGTCTGCTTCTTGAACTCCACCAGCTGCTCACCTTGCTTGTGCTCACTCACAATCTCTCTCTGACATTTAAAAGAAAAAAAAAAAAAGATTCTGCTTCCAAAGGAGGGCTCCCTGGCCATCATCACCACACAAACAGCCCTGGTCCCCCTGCATTTAGTCTTAAACTGGGTGGGTGATTCAGGAATTCCTCTCTTTGGGATGTTCCAAGATTAGAAACAAATGCTTTCTGTCATAGGCCTCCCGTATGTACAGGTTGGAGCCACTGTGTGGTTTGGTGACAACAGCAGAGGCTTCGTGTCTGTGCCCTGTGTATGCATACCCCATCGCTCAGAATTGGAGACCATTTTCAGTGGACAGACCTTACTCTGGGAAAACAGGGCTTTAGGCAACTCTCTCCAGCCTAAAACTGTTTTCCCAACCCCTACCCAAAACAGGCCAGACAGGCTGGAGAGCCTTGTTTTTGTGTTTCTAATCGCCAGCTCAGACAGTGCCCTCTGGGCTGCTTGGACGGCATATCCCTTTTCCCTCCCAGGATCACTCTCGCTTTTGTTGCATTGTGAGAAAGTTTTGGCTAGGAATTTGATCTGGAGCCAGTGTCAGCTTCCGGGTATGATCTCAGCATCCGAGTGTGAGCTCAGGGTGCTGTGACGTTGGGCACATCTAACTGAGGAGCTTTTTGTCTAGCTGGCTATGAGCCCCTCCCTCCCTGCCCATCCCATCGTCCAGGCCACAGAATAGGGAGCAGCACAAACAAGGCCCTGAGATTTGGGTTTATTCACCTCCACCCAGAACTAAACCAAAGGCTATGACATGTCTCAAGGGACCAAACCATACATTGTGGGCCATGCACTTTGTCCTTCCCCCAAGGACGCTGCTACCTCTGCGGTGGTGGGCAGCTGCTCATATCACCGTGGAGGTAGAAAGGGGTTCGCCGCACGCCAGCTCCACCGGCACTCAGGGCTCAACTCCAGTTGCCTCCTCCTCTTCCTCGGGATCGGGAGGTGCTGGGAGCAGGGAGATGTAGACCTCATTGACCTCTGTGTCCAAGTGTCGGCCACCCCGCGGTGCCTCCAGATTAAGGATGCCATCATGGGAGAGCGCGGCGCGGACCCGCCAAGGGTCCACATCAGCAGGCAAGACATAGGTGCGGCAGAACTCTCGGGACACGAAGCCGTGGCGGTCCAGGCGCTGGGGGTGCCGGGCAGACACCTCCAGCAGGTTGTCCACAGTCCTCACGGTCACCTCATCTGGGGTGAAGTGGCTCACATCCAGAAACGCCTGAAACTTGCCCTCACTGAGCCTGAGCTCAGAGGCCCCTGCCCTGCTGCCCTCCCCAGCTGCAGCGGCCCGGGGCCGGACATAGTAGCCATGGTAGAGGGTGGGGGCCAGGATCTCTTCTGGCAGAAGTCCTGAGGGGCAGAGAGAGAAGACAAGAGAAAGATTGCGGGAGAATGAGGTGGGAACAGGGTTAAGTGAGGAGATGAGGAGATCAGGACGTGGGAGAGCAGCCGGGGAGGCAGGAGAAGTAGGAAAAGGAGGCAGGGGCACACAGCGGCTACAAGGTGGCAGCTGGAAAGAGGGGACTGAGATAGAGAATGAAATGGGGGTGGAGGAGGGCAAACCAAACGGGGGCTGGGTGGACAGAAGGGGAACAAGAAGGCACACAAAGGGGGACAGGGGCAGGTATCTGAGCCTTGCGGGCAAGGCATCTGCACCGAGGTCAGTAGGAAGGGGACAGAGCCCTGCTTGGCGCGGGCGGAGGGGGAGTCTGGGGTGGGAGATGGCTCGCCCCAGGAGTTCAGTTAAGCCCAGAGTGGGGTGGAGGCCAGTACCGTTGGGAGGTCAGCCCGGAATTTCAGGAGGTGGGGGTGGGAGGCAAGGGGGTGGCGTCTGTGCCATACCTTCTCCGAAGCGCTGCTCACCCAGGCGGCTGGGGTTGGCAAATTCGTACTCGGTGGTGGCCGGGTGGGCATGTGGCACCGAGCGGCCCGACATGGCTGCAGAGGCGTCCGCGGCCCTGGTCCGAGGTGCAGCCCCAACGGAGCAGCGACCCCTCCAGCTGCCTGGAGAGCTAGGGCTCGGTCGGAGGTGGGGGCGGGGTCTACACCAACCAAAATAGTGTGGAGCCTGCGGGGGAGGGGCGGGGAGCAGGGCCCCTGAGCGCCAGCGACAAGTGTGTGACCAGCGCCGCCTGGACCCCCGTGCCCTCCCCTGCACACCCTTCAGCTGTCGTGGGCGGCCTGAGGGGACAGCTGGGGGTCCTGGCTGGGCAGCGAGCTGGGGAGGGGAGGCTGGTGCCAGAGGCCCTGAAGAGGCCTAAGCGAGCCCCTTACAGTTTGCACATTTTCTTTTTTTTTTTTTAATTTATTTGACAGACAGAAATCAGAAGTAGGCAGAGAGGGAGGCAGAGAGAGAGGAGGAAGCAGTCTCCCCGCTGAGCAGAGAGTCCGATGCAGGGCTCGATCCCAGGACCCTGGGATCATGACCTGAGCCGAAGGCAGAGGCTTTAACCCGCTGAGCCACCCAGGTGCCCCAGTTTGCACATTTTCTACACCTCCTCCAGCCTCCCTCCTCCCGGGCACCCTGCACCCTACTTCATAAAGCTCTCCTGGTTTTAATGTTCTGCGCACTGTGTAGGATAAAAGATGCAAGAAACTTTCCCACCCTCTCTTTGGGGTGGGGTGAAGAGTCTTCTGCCCAGATTCATGTTAGGGTCCTCTCCTGGACTCGGTCAACCTGGAGCATCACAGAGGTGCCTGGCACTGACTTGTTGGTGCTCAATGCTCTCCTCCAGGGACCCACAAAGAGTTAATGTCCCTGGGGCCTGGCCTAGGAAGATTCCAGTTCCTGCCCAGGCCCAAGATAGTTGCTGGCCCAATTCCCCTGGCAGCTAGGCAGGAGAGGAGGAGGAGGGGCCCACCACCCGCCTGCTTGGGATTCCTGACTCTGTTCCAGCTCCAGAGCAGAGGCTGGTTGGGGGGGGCGGTGGGGGGGCTGCCACTGGGTGCGGATGGAAAGCTAGTGAAACAAGACCAGGACAAGTCACCAGCCAGCTCAGACGTGTTTGTATTTCTCTTTTCTTAGCTCAGTGAGTACTGGGTATGTGTCACACTGCCAAATCCCTGATCACAAGTCTCCATGAACGGGCGGTGAGCTGGGATAATAAAACTCCTGACATCACCATTCCAGAAGCTTCACAAGACTGCGTATATAAGGGGCTGGCTGTAGCTGCAGCTGAAGGAGCTCACCAGCCAGCTGACCCCTCCGCTCACCTAGCCACCATGGACGTCGCCATCCACCACCCCTGGATCCGCCGCCCCTTCTTTCCCTTCCACTCTCCCAGCCGTCTCTTTGACCAGTTCTTTGGAGAGCACCTGTTGGAGTCTGATCTCTTCCCAGCTTCTACTTCCCTGAGCCCCTTCTACCTTCGGCCACCCTCCTTCCTGCGGGCACCCAGCTGGATTGACACCGGGCTCTCAGAGGTAAGTCTCTGCCAGGATAGGAGAGCTCTTCCTGGAACCTCTTGGAAACATCTCCATCTGCCCTCCTTTTTCTCCCTGCTTAAATCTGGCTATGTCTCAGTGTCTTAGGCACTTGCACGTCCACCAGTGAAAACAGACTAGGCCACTGGTCCTTTCCCCCAGTTACCTGTTTGTACTGGAGGCTGCACTGAATCCTACTGACTGCATTTTTTCCATATGCTGTGAAGATCGTCTTCTATCCCCTAGCTTCTAAGTAGGGTGCCCCTTTCTGGTTCGGTTCATAAAGATCGACAGAGAAAGAGCTGCCTTCAGACTCTTTTGCTCACCTCTTCTAATATCTCATACCCCTGACAAATGTTAGCATCTCAAGTTTCAGAGTCAGGAAACGGTCCTGCCTCGTTCTGAGCTTTTTATCTCCACTGCATGGAGCAGGAGACAGCAAACACTATTTACTTTCTTTCTATGCCTTCATCTATGATTTTCCAGGTTTCTCAGAGCTGTGATAGGGCACTGACCTGGGTTCAAACCTAATGAGTAAAGAATGTAGGTCCAGTCTTGGGACCCCCCACTTGTCCCAAGAGGGAGAGTGGGGTGAACAGATAAGGTTGACAGAGATGTCACAGAGCACACTCTGGTTTAAAAATATTCAAGTGTGAGTAAACAGGAGCTGAGTGAGCAAGGGCTTTGGAAGGACAATCAGGGCCAGCAAAACATTCCAGATTGGGTGGGTGGGAAACTTGGCAGAGGCCTGAGTAAGAAGAAGGGGCCTTTGTCTCACAGACAAATGACAAGGCCAGGCATTGGGTCAGAGAGGCAGCAGAAGCCGTGCCCAGACCTCTCCTTGTGATTGCTCCCTTGGGTGGCCAGTCTTCTCTCCTGTCCCTGTAAATAAAGTTTGGGTCTGATGACCATGCAGTATGGCTTGGGTACCACTGTGGCGGCTCCCGTGAACCAGAGAACCATGTTTATTCAAAAAGGGACTTTTAGCCAAAAACAGGAGGATAAACCCCCTGGACAGAAGGCAAGTCTACAGAATGAAGAGACTGCACTAAGGTCATCCACGTTCCTACCATCTTTTCTCCTTCCCCTTCCCCTCCACCATGCTATTTCTAGATGCGCCTGGAGAAGGACAGATTCTCTGTCAACCTGGATGTGAAGCACTTCTCCCCAGAGGAACTCAAGGTCAAGGTGCTGGGAGACGTGATTGAGGTGCACGGCAAACATGAAGAGCGTCAGGTGTGTAGCTTGTTTTCTCTTCTGCTCATTCATCCAGTGCGTATCATACAGCGGACACTCCCATCAGCCCCTGAGCCTGGTGACTTTCTAGTCGTAAGCCATTATTAGGGTCTGGGACAGGGATAGACCTGCTGTTGTGTTAGGTCCAGAGAAGTCGAGTTTTGCTGTTTTGATTTGATTGCCTTAGATGGGATACATGGGATGTTTATTTTCCAATCAATTAAGCCAGTGGTTTTTGGCCACCTTAGAATCACTAGGGGAATGAAAAAAGAGAAAGTCCCAGTGCTTAGACATATCCCGGACCAATTAAATCAGAATTTCTTAAGGGGTGGGCTCCAGGCATCAGCAGTTCTAAAAGCTCCCTGGGTGATTCTAATGTCCATTCAAAGTTGAGGACCACTGATTTAGGAATCGTGGTTGTTGGACACCTGGTTACTTTACATAATTAAATGAATTGTGTATAACCTGAAGGCTCTTGACTTTGGGACTTTGCTTGTAGAAGTTCCAGAATCCTCTCATCTTTAGCTCATCTAAAAGGCTGAACTACTTGATTTGCCTAAGTTTCAGACCTGTACTCAGGAGCTAAAACCCTGGAGCCCATGTGGAAATCAGTTAATTGAGAGCCTATCTGCATAAATGCTTGAGATTTAGCTGGTGTAAAGGTAGGGTATAAAGTTTTAGCAAAATTCTACAGAATGAATTCTAGAGAATTCTAGAAGCAGGTCGTTTTTAGCAGAATTCTAGAAAATGAGGAATGGCTTCTCTTTAGTTTCGTGCGCTTTTAAATGAGTCTGCTTACCGATTATTGATAATTCAGATACTCGTGTATCAAACAGCATAATTTGAGGTCCTCGAGCTGTTTCAGTTTTGCTTATGTGATTTAAGTTTGGGTCATAGTCCCCTTGGGTGAAGTGTTGTTGTTGTTGTTGTTGTTTTTAGCAGCAGTCTTTTTGGTCTGGGACATTCTGGGACATTCTTGAGGAGTGAAGACCGTTTCTGGGCTTCCCTGGGGACTCAGATCTTCAATGCTGAATAATATTCCACATCCTGTAGGCCCGACACTTATCTATACCTTTGGGAAACACCCCTAAAAATTGCCATGCCTCAGTTTGGGGAGATTGGCAGTTTTCACTGTTTCAGATTTCTCAGGCTCTCATTGGTCGGAGTGACCACCTAGGCAATTTGATCTTAGCCCCAAACAGAACAGCTGTTGGGTTTTCTCTCTCGTTGCAATGGTGTATGGACACACCTAAGGGGAAGGAAGATGTCTGAGTTCTGAAGTGGTGTGTTATTTCCTGTTCTTATCTCTCTTTTTCCTCATTCTCTTGGATTAGGATGAACATGGTTTCATCTCCCGGGAGTTCCACAGGAAATACCGGATCCCAGCTGATGTGGACCCTCTTGCCATTACTTCATCCCTGTCAACTGACGGGGTCCTCACTGTGAATGGACCAAGGAAGCAGGCCTCTGGCCCTGAGCGCACCATTCCCATCACCCGTGAAGAGAAGCCTGCTGTCACTGCAGCCCCCAAGAAGTAGATGCCCTTCCTCTAACTGCATTTTTTAAAAGACGAAAATTTCCCCACCGGTGAATGAAAATCTTGTGATTAGTGCTGAAGCTTTAATGCTAAGGGCAGGTCCAAATTATTAAGCTAATAAAATACCATTCAGCAACAGATAACTGTCTTGTGTTTGAATGTTCTGTGTTTGTAAAACATTTCTTTTTAAAGATTTTATTTATTTATTTGACAGAGAGAGATCACATGTGGACAGAGAGGCAGGCAGAGAGAGAGAGGGAGAAGGAGGCTCCCCGCTGAGCAGAGAGCCCAATGCAGGGCTCGATCCCAGGACCCCGAGATCATGACCTGAGCTGAAGGCAGAGGCTTAACCGAGCCACCCAGGCACCCCTGTTCTGTGTTTTTTTTTTTTAAGTAAATGTACCAAACAATACAGAGCCATTAAATCAGCGCATTATTTTTTTTTTTTTAAAGATTTTATTTATTTATTTGACAGAGAGATCACAAGCAGGCAGAGAGGCAGGCAGAGAGGGAGGAGGAAGCAGGCTTCCTGCTGAGCAGAGAGCCCGATGCGGGGCTCGATCCCAGGACTCTGA